TGAAGCAGCTGAAGCCAACCACGTCAACGCGTTCCATTTCAGACCAGAGTTGTATTCTGGTTCATTTCGGGGGCATGATGGACCCATTGCCCATGTCCTCTTGGGGAAACAAGCAAGTTTGACCCATGGCTCATGTGCACTTAACAGATTGGACAAGGTAGGTGGGGAGATGTCACATGACAGCCACGAAACAGTGGTGTGGGACGTTAACTTGTTTGTGGCAACGAGCTTCGTTGGAGTCCTGAGCAGCCGAGAACACGGTCAACTGCGTGGTGTTCCTTTCCAGTGGATCCAGCAACTACAGTAGCTAACTTCATCTGGAGTTGATCAACATTCCTGGCCCCTAAATGACCATGGGTATCGTTTCCCATTTAGCGGGAAATATCATCTTTTGGGCGGCTTTGCCCAATGGTCATCCCATGTAAAGGACCTTTTGATAAACCTCCATTTTTGTTTACCTCTGCAAGTTTACATAACAGTTTCACTTGGCCTCCAACTGTAGGGCAACTGGATCTACTGGCCTGCCTTTTTGCGATCCTTCAATATTTCTTTGAACGCCACAGGGAAGCTTGCCCGGACCGCTCTGCAGTTTCACCGCTCAGCTTATGACAGTTGATGTTAGCTTTGCCCAGCTCCAGGCAGTTTGTTTCACATTTGAGACACACAGACCATGTTCGTTGCGCAGCTGCTTCTCATGAGTGAACAGCGCGACAACACACACCCGCACACATAGAAAAGACTCAACCGCCGCGCGAGCGCGAAGTGCGAAGCGCGAAGCGCGAAGCGCGAAGCAACGCGCCCTGTGCTTTGCGGCCGCCGCATGTGGAGATGTGCGCATGGAGGCTGCTTGGTGGCAACTGAACCGCGGACATTGGGCATGGCTTCATCAAGTCGTATGGGCCCAGCTCGGGGGAAACAAAAGCCTGACCCAATCCAAGGCCACCAAGCGCCGTTTAGAGATCTTCCTGGTGCCCATCCATTGATTTCAAGGGGGCTAAAGGCAGATTTGGGTATGGGTCAAAATAAAGCCACCAGGGGACCGCAGGTTTGAATCAATGGTGGCTTACTTCTATGGTTCAGGGGGCTGGCCCAGCCCTAGATATTCAAGGCATGGCGATTTACGATACTCAATTTGGTGACAACCAACCAGAAATAAATCAATAAACAAATAAATCAATAATCAAATAAATGAATAAATAAATAGTTATATACACATATATAGTATTTCCCTTTTGGGTGGTTTTTGTCCCTTTTGGGTCGTTTTAAGCGTCACCTCTTTGACCCACTTCCCTTGGTACGACGGATGTGTCCAGACGTGTCAGCCAAGGCGCCATTCGCCCGAAGGAACTCTGGTTCGCAGGCGAAGAGGGCGGAGGAGGATGAGCAGGACCGGCCGAAAGCCCGAAAGCTCAAGCAGAGGGCCCCACCGTGGATGGACAAAATCCGTTCGCGCCACCTAAGAAACCATAGGAAACCGTTATAGGGGAATCGAATCATTCCCGGGTTTCTAGGTGGTGCGAAATGGATTTCGCAACCATCCACAGTATGGTCGTGCCCTTTTTGTTTGGGGGGCCCTAAACTAGTGGTACTTGTCCTTTTTGGTTTCCCTTCAAAGACGCAACAAGGGGTCCCTCAAGGGAAAAAACATACCCTTAAAAAATGGGTCAATGACCCCATTATTTTGGGTAATGACCCCATTTTTGAAGGGTCATGGAGACTCCAGGTATATGTGTGTAGCAGTGTTGCACATCACAATGGTTGGCCTCATTGAAAGTGAGTTTCCCTTGGTAGGGGTGACTTTTTTAACGGGCAATGTATGAAATCCGGTCAAAGGGGATTTGATTGCCAGGGAGCAAGCGTTTGGACGAGTGTTTTGGACTGTGCACGTTTTAAGGCGAGATGGACAGGGAAGCTACCCAGTTCGGCATTTTGGGAGTTCCACAAATTGCAGACCAACTAAATAACAAGCCCTGCATTTGTCACTCAGCTCAAGTTGAATTCAACCTGGGACATGTGAATCTGCCTCAGGAGTGCGAGGACTATTATGACCTTCGCAAGACGCTGCCCAGATTCTACCGACTTTTTGAACATCTCAACAAAGGCATCGGAAGCGGCATTTCTATGAGGGAGTTGATCAATATTCCTGGCCCCCAAATGACCATGGCTAGCTTTTCCGGTTCAGTGGTGAACTTTTCCTGTTTGGGGAGGGGGGCGGGGACTCCCTGATGGTCATCCCATGTAAAGCACCGTTTCATCAGAAGCCATCTGTCAGTTCATGGCAGATCGCCCTTGCATATGCGCCTTGTACTGTTCTCACCCCTCACAATTTTTGTCCCATCCTTCAGTGGCCGACTGCAATCTTCGTCCGGGTCAACACGAGTTCCGCTTGTGTGGAGCTTGCTAGGGACGGTCATAGACCCCCAGTGGAATTCGACACGCCTATGGTAAGGGTCATAGGTGTGCTTTTTGGTGGTTTGGGTAGAAAAATAGAGGGGTTTCGATTCCTTGTTTACCTGGTGGTTTAATCATCTACCAGGGAAACCCATTTATTTCCCCTAAAAGGACGCCTATGGTAAGGGTTCCTACAAAGGGAACGTCAACATGACTCACATCATGGCAGTTTGGACCGTGGACAACGGACATGTGTCAAGACGAGCTGGACGCATGTGTGGATGGAAAGAGGGAACGAACAGAAGCCATCCACCGTTTGGAGGCGTTGCTTGAACGGACACATGATCAGTGTGGTAAGGGTTCCCACAGGCGAAACCATGACAACAGGACATTCAAGTTTTGACCCTGGCTTTCTTCCTGAGGGTTGTCCAAAAAGGGAGTTAAGTTGTTGTTCAAGCCTCTTCCCTTGGTGGCTCCCAGCCATCCCCTTAGCGTTTTAGCCTTTTAGTGTTTAGTGGTAGTTTCCATAAACTACCCACTAAAAGTTAAACTTTTAGCGGGGGATCTGAGAGCAGCCCAGTTCCCAGTGCTTCCAGTTCCCCTGGTTAACTGCACTGGTTACCCCAATGCTCAGTGGCTTGCCTGGACCTGGGCTGGGGCGGCCATGACCTTCCCATGCCAAAACGAGGGGATGTGTCAACGAAGGGATGTTGGGATCCAAACAAATGGTGATGTTCCTCTTGGTTTTGAAAAAACCAACCCCCAAAAGGTTACCGAGCCTCAAAAACATATACAGTCACAGTCACATACACAATGGAATGGATTTTTGAACCACCTGTTTGTTTTACCCCTCTGAAAATCGGATATCCAAAATTGGATGGCTTCCTTGGCTCCCTGAAAGAGTCCCAAAAACCTCAATGCCAGGGGGCTGAAAGGGGCCCGATTTCAACGGATATTGCTTTCAGCTTCATCAGCCCAGGCTCAGTGCTGTGAGGGTCTCCTCACTAAAATAGACCACAGATAGAAAAGGGTACTCCCTTATTCTAACTCTACAGGACTTACCATGGGCCTGTCTATTATCAACCAAAAGGACCCCATGGATAAGCTTTTCACCCCTGCAGGCACCGGCCCAGCACTCGATCATGGCCAATGCGCTGAGGTATCGGAGAAGATGCAGCAAGACGCGCGTCGCTGATTTGCTTATGTGCGGCATGGCGACACGGCACCACTTTGGGCACTGGGACGACCCTCACATCCACAGTACTTGCTTCAGTGTTGCCAATCACTTTAGTATTGCCAAGGCTGACTCTCAAATTCCCAGTACTTACCTTAGTATTGCCAATTCCACTTTAGTATTGCCAAGGTTGACCCTCACATCCCCAGTACTTGCTTCAGTGTTGCCAATCACTTTAGTATTGCCAAGGCTGACTCTCAAATTCCCAGTACTTACCTTAGTATTGCCAATTCCACTTTAGTATTGCCAAGGTTGACCCTCACATCCCCAGTACTTGCTTCAGTGTTGCCAATCACTTTAGTATTGCCAAGGCTGACTCTCAAATTCCCAGTACTTACCTTAGTATTGCCAATTCCACTTTAGTATTGCCAAGGTTGACCCTCACATCCCCAGTACTTGCTTCAGTGTTGCCAATTACTTTAGTATTGCCAAGGCTGACTCTCAAATTCCCAGTACTTACCTTAGTATTGCCAATTCCACTTTAGTATTGCCAAGGTTGACCCTCACATCCCCAGTACTTGCTTCAGAGTTGCCAATCATTTATTGACTCTCCCCAGTACTTACTTAGTATTGTTAGACCCTCACATCCCCAGTACTTGCTTCAGTGTTGCCAATCACTTTAGTATTGCCAAGGCTGACTCTCAAATTCCCAGTACTTACCTTAGTATTGCCAATTCCACTTTAGTATTGCCAAGGTTGACCCTCACATCCCCAGTACTTGCTTCAGTGTTGCCAATCACTTTAGTATTGCCAAGGCTGACTCTCAAATTCCCAGTACTTACCTTAGTATTGCCAATTCTACTTTGGTATTGCCAAGGCTGACTCTCAGATTCCCATTGCCAAGGCCCGTTTTTTCACCCCCAAGAAGGTTGGACACTGAAGAGGCCCTTAAACAGTCACATTGAAAGAGGCTCCCGGCCTCTTGTGGGCAACCCCCTTTAACCCCCGTTGCGCGAATGTGTGCCCTTACTTTTTGTAAAGTTATCTTAAATTTGGTGTCTTGGGGGCCACTGACAATGTTTGCCCGGATTTGTCGGCTCGTGTTTTGTCCGACTTCTTTTTGCCAGTCGTTGTTTGCCAGGATGTTTTCCCCGGCATTTCGTCCTGCAAAAACATGCCACAACTGAGGACCCCAAAACAGTCACAAGATCCTGAGTTGCGAAAATAAATTGCCACAATAGAGGGTACTTTTCCAATTAGGTCTAACATTACCTGTCCAACGCTTCTCTTCTTCTGAAGAAGGGCAAGCTCTGTGCCAGCTTATTCTGCACAGATATGCCCTTCTGCTCTGCAAGCACCATTGTCTGGGTTGCGGCTTAGGGCATGTAGCGAGGTATTTCCTCTCTGCCCCAAATCCGGAGGCCGGTTCACGTAGCTCCGCCACTTTTTCACACTTCTCACGCCAGAATCCCCAGGCTTCACCCGGCGCTTCAGGCACAGCCCAAGCAGCCGGGCCATCCAAGTCCCTGCAACGCAAATAGAAATTGAGAGCGAAGAAAAGCACACGAAGCAGGAAAAGAAACAAGAAAACACGAGACATCACGCTAGACGAAGTGCAGCTCTTCGCGGGGTCCGGCCTTGGCGCCACACAGCGCCAAAAGAGCCGCCTGACGGTGACGTGCTCTGGTTTGGCTTTCCACAGTTACCCTATATGTTACCCTGGCCCTTTTTCCCTTTTTCCGTTTTCTCTCAGTCACTCTCTTTCGACTCTCCTGTCGCCGGCAGCTCTCTCCATCGGCTCTGCGTGGCGCACGGATAGGTCGCGAGCAGCGCCTCAGAGTGCGTGCGGGTCTCGCCGATCCGTCGAGACTTGGCTCCGGGCCAAGCAGGCCCTGAAAAACGGCGGACCTCACATCAAACTCCGGATATTCCACTTCTTGACCCCATCTTAAACGAATCGGCATAGGAAGCCGAGCGTCGCAAGCTCCCTAGTGGCCTGCGCGGGCAACTGTCTGGATGTCTAGGAGTCTATCGGAACATATCGGAACACATAACACAAAACGGGAAGATCTTGAGACCCACGGCGCCTTGATATCGCCCAAAACAAATTCTCTTGGAAACAAATGAGGTGAACCTGGCACCGCATTCAGTCAGGCAAGCTTGGAATAAGCTGTCATTGGGATAGCCTTCTCCACGGGAGTACTCATCCAGACCTGAAGGAAATGACCAAATGCCCGAAACCGCATGCTCGAGCTGGCCAATATCATCTGTCGAGCTACGAACAACCTCGCTTGCCATCAGGTGCAACATCGCACTTGGCATTGACCCATGAACCTGGCGATTCGAGACATAGAGGGCATGCGCAGCGGTTTCTACGCCTCCATCATCTGCTGCAGCCCTTCGTTTGGATCTCGCGAGTTGAGAACTCTTATCTGCATCGTCCTTGGCTCCCGGCTTGAGTCCTGCAAGGTGAAAAGGCTTGAAGCATCTTGAAGCGCACTAAGCATCGTCAAGGCGCGAGTGGTTGTGGACGTGTGTGTCACCAAAACCAGAGAGACGGCCAAGAACTGTCGCAGCAACGCGGCGCACAAGGTAGGACTCTTCGACCACTGCCACCATCCGGGGTCGATGTAGAGGAGGCAAGTGCATCGCTGCCCATTCCAGGAAACGATCCTTAGCCCGATCTGGAGCATGCCTGGCATATGCATGCCGTCATACTGCTATGTCACGGCTATATCACTGAATCACTGCAAGATTTGCCAAGAGGCGGCGTTGAAGCCGGTGTTCCCGACGCAGCCGCATTTCAAGCGCAGCTGCTCCGTGGGGCACTCGTTGCAGCTGATGGCCACCACCCGGTTGGAGTTGATGGCCGCGCCGAGTTCCCCGGGGATCTCCAGCAGCACCAGGAGCTGCGCCAGCGTGGCGTGGGCCTCCCCGTCCAGCTCCGCCGCCCGGATCGACGACAAGCGCCCCCGGCCACCCACCAGAATTATCGGCGTGGAGCGGTGCCGGGCCTCATTGTACATAGAACCGGTTGGCGCAACCACAAGCACATTGGCGCACCAAGGCAGAAAAAGGCATCTAACGGCATAAAAGGAACACATGACATGCACAGCAGGCATGGCGCGGCTCACATAGTCATGTCAAGCCGAGCAGCTGCCAGCTCCAAGACTTTCTTGACCTTGGAGACACGGTCATACCAGTTGGAGAGCACCACGATAGCATCCAGTGGATCTTGTGAATCATCATCTTCAGTCGGGTTGAACTCGCTGCTCAGAAAGTCAAACATTTCTTGCGCTGCAGCGACTTCAGCTTGAGTTGGCTGCGGCCCCTTGCAGGGCTCTTCACCTCGGGTGGGTCAGAGACAAGCTTGCAAAGACAGTGCCAAAATCGCATGGTAACGCAAGGCTGAGCGACACGCCTGAACGTGGCAAGCACATGCCATCACTGCCAAAATATGGTCCAAGAGAATGTCAGAAGTTGTCACGTGTCGCGCGAGTGGCGGGAAGTGCCGGCGAGACGTCGGTAGTGGTCGCGCAGCCGGGCAAGCTCCGCGCGCAGGGCCGCGGCCTCGCTGAACTCAGCCACCGAGCCCTCCGCCTCCGTGCGGCGGCCCAAGAAGCTGGTGACATGTGAGTCGGGGTGCAGCACGCGTACCACCTGAGCGCGGAATGTCCCGAAATCCGAAATTGGGGTGCGCAGTGCGCAGTGCGCATTGCCCTTTGCCTGGCCCTGAGGCGCACACCAAGGACACCCGCTCAGAATCCAGACTGTCGCCTTTGTGCTCTAAGCTATGCAGATAGCTGTCCTTCCGTTGAGATGCGAGCCAGGCCAGCATGATGAGCACGTGAAGTCTTTGAGAGGTGGCATAAGGTGAAGCGGTCTGTTTCCAAAAGATCCTTTGCATTTATCAGTGAATTTCATTGTGCCGCCATAATGAAGTGGGGCAATCCATGAAGCTCCATCTCTCAATTCCAAACCCAAGGAACCGTTCCTCGCATATCAAAACGCAAATTGTGCGCGACAAACGTGCTGATCTGTGCTTCAAACTTTAATGCTCGCAAGTGGCTGTTGTCTTGACAGCAATCGCGTGGGGCGTACCAATGGCCCCAAACAGTCACCAGAGCCACATGCGCATTCTGGGGATCAATCCGCGCGCGAAACGGGGGGTAGCAACTGTGCGGAAGTAGGGTATCCAGAAGATGTGTATTCAGCTTCGCAGTGCCGTGTATTTATACTGACTCTCTCTCTCTCTCTCTGTCGTTGAACTCGAATTGACAAATACGACAAACGCGGGGGCTGTGGTGTTCACACGCAGCCGTTTCTCTTTGTGGGAAGTTGCAGTAACGTGCTCAAGGCCTTGAAGGAAGAAGCGGAGGAGCCATGTCACTACAGATGTTGCTCGAGGCGCCCCCTCAGTTTTACGGATTGTAGTAACTCCAACAAATTGGAGTTTCTCAAAAGGAAAAGTGTCCCTGTTGTTCAACAGTATAGGGTTGGAAACTAACGTAGTTGTCCAACAATTCTACTGTAGTCCTTATAGAAAAATCCGCCGACGTTGCTCGGCGTGTCGGATACTTGCTAGAGGATAGAGGATACCCCCCCCCCTAACCCCCCCCCGCCCGACGTCTATTACGTAGGTTTTTGGGGGGGGGGGGGGGTCCCCCACGTACCGCGCGGCAATTTGATGACGTTCCACTAAACGTAGTCTTCGGGGAGCCGGTGTCGCAAAACAGGGGTCCCAGGCTCGATTCCCCCTGCCGGCTTTTTTGCTGGCTTGGGCTTCCTGCATCCTTTTGCCGAAAATCTGGAAAAACTCAATGTTTTTGGACGTCCTCTTTGCGAAAACGCTGGAAAAACCGTGTTTTTTTTGCGGGAAATACATACATACATGCATGAATGCATGCATGCATACATACATACATACATGTCATACATACATTACATACATACATACATACATACATGCATGCATACATACATACATACATACATACATTACATACATATATTACATACATACATACATACATACATACATACATACATACATACATACATACATACATACATACATACATACATACATACATACATACATACATACATTACATACATACAACATACATACATACACATACATACATACATACATACATACATACATACATACATACATACATACATACATACATACATACATACATACATTACATTACATACATACATACATACATACATTACATACATACATACATACATTACATACATACATACATACATACATACATACATACATACATACATACATACATACATACATACATACATACATACATACATACATACATTACATACATACATACATTACATACATACATACATACATACATACATACATACATACATACATACATACATACATACATTACATACATACATACATTACATTACATTACATTACATTACATTACATACATACATACATACATACATACATACATACATACATACATACATACATACATACATACATACATACATACACAACACAACATACATACATTACATACATACATACATACATACATACATACATACATACATACATACATACATACATACATTACATACATTACATACATACATTACATACATACATACATACATACATACATACATACATACATACATACATACATACATACATACATACATACATACATACATACATACATACATACATACACATACATACATACATACATACATACATACATACATACATACATACATACATACATACATACATACATACATACATACATACATTACATACATACATACATACATACATACATACATACATACATACATACATACATACATACATACATACATACATACATACATACATACATACATACATACATACATACATACATACATACATACATACATACATACATACATACATACATACATACATACATACATACATACATACATACATACATTACATACATACATACATACATACATACATACATACATACATACATACATACATACATACATACATACATACATACATACATACATACATACATACATACATACATACATACATACATACATACATACATACATACATACATACATACATACATACATACATACATACATACATACATACATACATACATACATACATACATACATACATACATACATTACATACATACATACATACATACATTACATTACATTACATTACATACATTACATTACATTACATTACATTACATTACATTACATTACATTACATTACATACATACATACATACATACATACATACATACATACATACATACATACATACATACATACATACATACATACATACATACATACATACATACATACATACATACATACATACATACATACATACATACATACATACATACATACATACATACATACATTACATACACATACATACATACATACACATACATACATACATACATACATACATACATACATACATACATACATACATACATACATACATACATACATACATACATACATACATACATACATACATTACATACATACATTACATACATACATTACATTACATTACATTACATTACATTACATTACATTACATTACATTACATTACATTACATTACATTACATTACATTACATTACATTACATTACATTACATACATACATACATACTTACTTACGTACTTACTTACTTACTTGCTTACATTACATACATACATACATACATACATACATACATACATACATTACATACATACATGCATACATACTTATGTACATGCATGCATACATACGAGAGAGGGAGATTGGGGAGAGAGAGGCTTGGGGGGATAGGGAGGATGGGAGCAGAGGGAGGGAGAGAGGACGACAGAACACACAAGGGAGACAAGGAAGAGAGGAAGAAGGAGAAAAGGGAGAGGACAATGTCGGCGGACTGAGCCGGAGGCTCTAAAGTAACGCAGTTACAAGGCCGAAGATTGGTGCGTACTACACTGCTTGTAGTGCGCTCAATGGATCTTCTATTGGCGTTGAGTCAGATTAATGAGACCTAGTTGTCTCACGAAAGATTCGTAGGCGCTGAGTCTGTAAGCACGACTTGAAAGGTAGTTGAATCGTAGTTGAAGTTGCGAGGTGGCGGTGGCTCTCCCAGTTGTCTCACCTGCGCTGTATGCTGCGTGGTTCCAGCGTAGTGATGTATTGTTGGAAATAAGTTGAAGTCAGGTGAGTCACGTAGTCGCTCAGGGTGTCGTCGTTCCTCAGGTAGTTGCAAAAGGCCAGTGTTGCGGTAACAGCTGTGTCTGTCAGTAAGTGTCCGTAGTGTCAAGTATGACCAAGACCGGCGCGATATCCACCCCGTTCCCGGAGACGCTTGGCCGCTCCAGGAGTGAGGGCACCACGCTGCATTTCATGCAGCGTTGTCAAGAAAGCAAAGGACTGATCAAGTGATGCTGTCGAGGCGAGCAACTCGGATGCGAAAGTGCCACGGGCGGCCAGGCGATGCGACTGACACCCGGCATCAGGCAAGTGGCATCGGTAACCTCCGAGCTTGCCAGGTTGCGCCACGCAAAGCATATCCTTTGCCACCTTCCCTGCTCAAAGCAGAGTCAAAACGCAACAGCGCCGTCTTTCGTTTTGCAGCGGCTGGCGCGCAAGTCGCCGATTGAGTTTCCAAGACGCCAAGCGCATTTCAAGGAATGCCTCGCCACCAGTGTTGCGGCTGGGGCGCAGTACAGTGTTATGTCAACATCGCGGGGATAGTCACACAATGGATCTACGACGTCAGCTCCGCACACTTGATTGACTGGCATATATTCTGGCTTGTGAGTTTCGGCGTGGTTTTCTTGGATTTCCGAAGTTCTTGACGCACATGCTCGGGGGCTTCTTAAAAATCAAGAGCAAACAGCTCTGTTGCCAGGCCACTCTCTTTGTCAAGGTTGAGACACGCCTCCTGCATGCAGCGTGGGCGTGAGCAACAACTTTGGGCCTTTATTTGGACTACGCCAGTGGCTGCTAATGACCCTCGCCAACCACTTACATCCTTACTCAGGGCTTGCGGGAAGGTGTGCAAGGAGCAACCTATCCTTGCTGCTGTTGACGTTGATCATGACTTGTAATGCGATTTCCCTAACGGGAGCGACCCGTGCTTGGCTCTTCATGGCAGGATCGCGCAACGGAAGCAAACGGCTGGTTGGGCTGGCGTCCATACACCACTTGGTGTGGCGTCCCTCCGCCTCCATAAGTTAGCGTGTTACCACAGTCCCCAATAGCGCGCAAGCTGGTCCTTTGCTTTTACACGCAGCTCAACACTCGAGTAGTGTTGAGACCAGATTCTGGGTCTACCGCAATAATTTCATGGGACCATGACGAGCGAGCCAAGCCGTGTGGAGTTTTTCGGGCAGTGGTGCTTCAGTCTTGCTCGGCGTATCTATCGCACACTGCCTTCCTGTCAAAGCAAGGCAACTCTAATCCTGCTGCGCTCGCATTGCTCAAGATTAGGACCTCTTCGCCTCGCTTCTCTCCTGTTTGCTTCCGTGGCTGTTTGGCAGCGGTTCATGTTTGTGAATCGATTTTTGACATCTGTGCAACTTCAAGCATGATCACACATGATTGCTAACACTGTTCGCTCTCAAGCCCCGTCCTGAAAGCAAATCGCTTTTCCAGCTTGCAGCTCACGACTCTCGCCAGCAATGTTGAGTGTAACACCACTGCCTCCTTTGAGAGTCAAATGGATGTTGATCTGGTTGTTCGCAGCTCCGCTGTGGGGCCCTACATAAGCACCATTGACAGAGCGGAACAAAACGATCTCTTCGTTGTTGGGCACCACCAGTGGGAGTCCAGGCTTGGTGGGAATCTCTGGCAGCAGCAGTTGGCAGGTCTGCGGCATTGCAGCGCACACTTCCGCATTCCAGGAGCGCCCCCGGAACAGGAACAAATTCTGCCATGATCCCTTGGCAAATAAGTACGGATAGGCCTTCTGTAACTGAGGGGCTGCTTGGCTGGCCTCAGCCAAGATCTTCTCTGCGTGGGCTTCCAAGTTGCGGACAAAGGGCCAGGCCTAAGCTTCAGAAGCTTCAGATACGGATGCGCGGACATGCGCGGACATGCGCGGACATGCGCGGAGTGGACGACCAGACTCTTGGACATTCGCATCTCTCCCGCCTGGTGACAGTCCCAAAAAGGCTGCTGGCGCAGGCCCCGTATCCAGATCGTGGGTGTCTCCAACGCAGACGGCCACGGAATCGCAGCCTGGCAAAAATGAGCCCCAGAGTCAGTGAGTCAGTACATGTGTACTTGGAGTTCACTCTCCGGCCTCATCCTCAGGCAGAAGCTCTGCGAAAAAACGTGTAGATCCGCGAAACAGGCTCCTTGCTCGCTTCCAAACTTCCGTGGCGCTCTGGCTGTCACCTCGCCCATACGTTCTGAGACGAGATACAAGGTCAACTTGGCACAACTTGGCCGGCCACCCATGCTGAAGAGCTTCTGGATCGCCTTGGAGTCAAGCTGTTATGGCTGAATCCGCTTAGGCCTGGCAGGCCGGGAACAAATCCCATCTCTGACATGCTGCGGTTGGAGCCAACCCACGCCCAACAAAACTCAATGAGCTCACAACTCACCTCACCTGCAACCCGAAACTACCGTGCACCGTGTCGCCACATGCCACATCAAGGCAAAAGAACAGCATGCGCGCTCCATCAAGCTGTAAATTGTTAGCACGCGCCCTTTGCAAGGGTAAAGTTAGTAAAGTTCAATTGCAAGTACTGCCAAATACATTCAATTACTGCACTTTTGTGACTTGAACCGACTTGCAAGCCTCACATCCCCCACGCCCTCAACAGCAATGAAGCGCGAGGTTCAGCGGAATCGCATACAAATGAGACTTGTTCAGGTGGGCTCAGGACCCTGTAAAGCCGTCTGCAAGCCAGTAGGAGCATGCCCTTTCTTTGAGAAGACCTCTGCTTGAAAGTGCGTTTCACGTTGACAATCAGCTCTGAGGGGCATATGCGCCAGCGTGGCAGCGTGGGGCCTTCCTGCGCTTGCGGTGGAAGACTTCACGACTTTCTCTTGCACTGCTGTCCCGGCCGCGTTTACATGCCCTGTGCCACTCGCTTCTCCTACAGTGACTATCGTGCTGACAGCATACATTCAAATTGCGTGGAAATCAATCTCGCGGAAAAGCATCCGTCCCAACTCACCTGTGTTGCTGTGAAAGTCACCGTCATCTGCCCGCTGTCTACATTGGTCCCGGGTTCTGCTCCATGCCAAACTTTGCGGAATCACTGCACGCTCTGCATCTCACATCCTTCATCTTTTTAAGCCTTTGCCGCGTGACAGACGTCACGCCATCAGGATGCTCTAGATGGTCAATCAGCGCAAGCCCGTCTTGGCAAACGTTGACTCTGTGCTGTTTTGCCACGTGCCCGCACAAAGATCAGTGGCTTGCTTCGCGATGTCCTTGTTGTCGCCCCCACACCCTCCACCCCGGACCTCAATAGATCGCTTTACCCACTCAGTTGCTGTCCAGAGCCGCTACAGTATGGCTTGTAGTGATAAGCTTTTTTGCATCCTTCCTGCTTGTATGTCGCGTCACTACGTTGCTCTTCCCTTTTTTTCGGTGCAGAGGTTGCACGTCGTTGTGTCCACAAGCGCTGTGTCACAGTCCAGGTTGAGCATGGCCGTTTTGTAACACGAGCACGCCCAGCACAGTGCCCGGACCGGCGCATGTGTTGCAACAACCTGCGACTGTAAGCGTTTGGAGCGCTTCTGCTTCGGATTTCTTTTGCGCTTTGCTTCGAACTCTGCGCCGCTGCAACAAAAGACACCATTGCACGGATGCAGACAAGCACTGCATGTCACAGGATACATAACAGACAGCATTTGAGGACTGAAAATACAAGTTGAAATCTTGCAAGCACCAACGATTTGTATTCTGTGTTTGCCTATGCGTGCCAGGCAACTCATAAGACTGGAGATTCACTATTTTGCGACGGCAGCCGACTGCGCTGTAGTTTGGGTTTGGATCAGCCCAATCCATCTGCTGAACAAGGTTCAGCAACAGTCGGCTTCAGACAGGATCTGACCAATACCAAACCGGTACAGGGTGACTACGCCGTGACTACGCTAAGCAGAACAGGCGCAGCCAGTGTCAGAGAGGACGACACAGAGGCGTGCGCCCTAATGGCATCAATCCGCCGAATCCATACCGTCAAACATGCAACACCTCATTCGCTTCTCCGTAAGATCGAGTCCGGCGTTGCATCATTCCGGTGTGAACCCAAGCCGTGTCTTGGGGATGGCTTAGCTCCACAAACAGGCTCACGCTTGCACATCCCGCTCACATGTTCACTATTTGTAGCTTTCTAAACAAATGGACCATTGAAGGCGACGCGCCAATAACTTTGACCCTTTGTCAGCTTTCTCCAAAGGCTGCAGGTTGATCTCAAAGTTGACAGACCAAACAAACCGAGAAGGCGTCAGCACAAGGTCCACACCGAGGTGCAATTTTGAACATCTTCTGAGGGCAGCGGATCTGAAGCTCATCCATGATTTTCAGATCGACCAAGCACTCTGGAAGCATTGCCACTGACCTTGGGCCGCATGCCGAAACCTCCAAACAAAGGCAATCCACAAGGCATTGGCTCCAAAATTGTAGCGGCCACAGCGTAGTTGCCTGCTGAGTTGGACAAGTCGGCAGCCCAGCTGGCATATGTGCCTCGCTGGCATGCATTACAGCCTGTAGATTTGGTGCGGAATCAAAGAGTCGGGCTTGCCAGCCCGAAGCTCATGTTCTGCACATCATGGCGAATGGAATCAAGCACAGCCTCACGTCTGGAGACGTCCTGGCACAAACTGCTTGACAGCTGAGTCCAAGCCTATTCACATCCATGCATTTCGCCCAGACACACCCGACAACATAGGTCTACGTCTTGGCGAAGTTCCCAAAAACGCTCGCATGAAGAGGCTTTGTACTTCATTTGTAATGAGTCAGATTTAGGGTGCCCGTGCCTGTACCTCCTTCGGGCTTCCCCTTATATTGGTAGTATTGGTGCGACGCTTTGTAAGGTGTTGGTTTCAGCTTTGGCCGACTTGGCTCGACTTTGCGGCATATTTGCAAACTTATTGCGTTCGTGGCTTGTGAGGTACGTGGGATGCCTTGTTCCTTCTACTCAAGGTCACGGCCTTCATTGCCTCGGGGAGTTCTGTGCGAGTGCGCAAATTGCGGAGAGGGCGCACATTGAATGAATGGATCTCAGGAACTGTTTCAAGCAAGTGGGCATGGGCAATTCGTGTATCTGCGGCTCCCAAAGTGTGACAAGTCTTGTGAGTCTTGTGACAGTGAGCCTGCCAAGCTGCAGCCCATTCTGCAAGCTGCCCGTGGATGGAGGCCTTGGTGTGGCTCACTTGAGCCACATGAATGTGAAAAACGCTTCCAAGAGTTCAATGCAGCTTGCCTGGGCTTGCACGGCCTGCACAAGCAGGAAGAAGAACATGCTCCATGAGCGAAAGAGCGAATTGTTGCTCAAGTGATTCGAGTCTCTTGCTCATTATGTTTGCTCTGCCCACAAATCAGTTGTTTGCAAGTTCGGTCAAATATAAACCATTGACGGTGAAGGAACAGCTGTCAATGCTGTCAACATACTTAGCGAGTCAGCAGGTGAGAGCTGCATCTTGCTTCAGTTTGTACTGCAAAGATTTCACTATTCGAGCCAGTAGAAGAAACACCACCTGTGCGACTTGCTTTGCATTTCAAGGCATACACACCTAGACATAACCCTGTCTTGGCTGCGTCAATGGTGCTGCCACCAGTGCACTAAGTGGGATAATAGCGAAAACACACCGTCGAAAAAGATCTCAGATGAGGACAACGAGGTAAGCGCTCTTGACCCCTCACGGACAGAGCAGCTGTTACCCTCCGAGTTTGTCTGTAGAGCAACGCAACGGCACAGCCTGTGAGCCACCTGGTGGACCTGAGCCCTGAGGCTTGCGATGGCTATGCTCTCAGCCCCTGTGCGGAACTTTTGAAGTGCACGCTGGCTCAATGTCTTGAAATGTCTTGAATGGTCCATTCGTGTCAACATTGTCGGCTCACTTGCGTCTTGTCTTCTGTGTGCAACGTAGTTTAGCAGGACAAGCAGAGGATCCTGGCGCCGTCCCAACAGCATCGCCGGATTTGCGTCGAACGAAAACAAGACACCCTTCATCGTGGACAAGATCTGCAAACGAAGAGGCAGGAAGGCATGATATCCAGAGTTGTGTGATCGCGGCATGTGTGGTTGTCGGATGGCTGAGCACACTATGACTGACTGTGCCCCCGAAGCGAACGAGATATTATGATATGAGCAGGTTGTTGCGCTTTGTAAACCGAACGAAATGGATGGGGCGATTCAGAAGTTCACGTACGCAGGTGCCGCGGTCAAACGGTGAGCTCCCTGACATTCTGATAGGGGCCTAGCGTGTCCCGATGGGACTGAGCCCTGGGCTCGAATGGATGGGACCCAAGGAGCTAAGGGGCGGGGCTAAGGATGGCTAAGGCGCTAAGGGGTGAGACGTATCGGACACTCTGACCGCTCTGACACATCGGAGCATTTTCTATCTCCCCTCACGCTCCGACTCGTTCGTATCCTCACGAACGTATCGTCTCAGAAGGCCTGGGCCGAGACATGTCGAGCTGCTGACAGCGCGCCCCGAACGGGCCTGGGCCGAAAGGTCCTGCATTTGCAACTCTCCGAATCTCACGCTTTCCATTCAGCTTGCACGTCTCCTGGAACTGCAACTTCATCTTCTCCTGCAGCAAAGACCACCTGAGCTGCAACATGTCCAGACTGTCAAGAGACAGTTCGGTGCTGTAAACCTAAGGAGCGCGACATCTGTTGCAAATCTGACACTGCCGTTGGGGTTGACTCCTGAAGCTTGAGTGATACGCTCGCACATGCGTCGCAGCGCACAGCTTCGCATGCAGAACTTAGCCGAGCATCGGCTTCAAGCAATCGCCTGGAGCCCGGTTGCTCCTGAAGCCTGGGTGGGTAGCATGCCCAAGCACCGGCACACCGAGACCGTCCCTGTTCCAGGCAGGCAACTCTAGACAAAGGTCGCGAGGAAGCTTTGCGAAGCGGCTAAAGACCGGTGTCAGCTCAAAGCAGTTCTCGAACAGGGAGAACCTGAACTTCTGAACGCTTTCCAATAGAAAACCAAAAAGACTTTCACAAGATTTGCATGACGCTTGGCTTCTTGTGCCTGCCGAAGACGTAGAGCCCAAAGCGCGCTCGACTCATGGTGACGACCAAACGTCTGACATCCCGGAGATGCCCGACATGCTGCGTGCGGACCAGGGAGACCTGAGGTTCACACCACGTTGGCCCCAGATTTAGAATTCGGACTGTGAAAAAGTCTCGACGGGCAGCTATGATGAAGTCGTTCTGCTGACCTTGATACTTGTCCACCGTGGTAATCTTTGCCTAGCGAGCGTTGCACTGAAGCCTCCGTGCCAAAGAGGCTGGCAACATCCACATTTGTTTCACATTACACGCTGTCAAGTGTCTGGTTCACCGAAGAGAGGATTCCAGGCACACCTGGTCCGCACGACGTCCCGGATCAACGCCTCGAGGCTTGACATGTCAATGACTAGAGTGGCGAGAAATGACGAGAAATGACTAGAGACCTTCTGACCGTTGTAGGTGGAGAGGACTGAGATCTTCTCTGCGGCAATTCCCATCAAGCGCCTCGAGCACCGTATCGACATGGCAGGAACCCGAGGTAAGCTAAGGCAAATTGGCAAATCCCAGCGGCATATACATGAAGAGAGCCACGCAATACTCCGCCTCTCCCAAATTCTGGTAGAAGTATGGGGTAGGCTGTGACTCACCTCTCCCCTCAAAGTCAGCCACATTCACAAACTGATACCTTGCTTGCGAGGCAACAAGCATTCAGCATACGCAACTGCCGCAAAAGGCAACAGGCATCGCAGGCAGCTCAAAGCGCCCCATGCCAAGCTGCGGATATGTCAAGCCCGGATTTGCATATCTGTACCTGGAACAGGAGATGGAAAACAAAACCGAACCGGTCAAGTCTCGATGCCAAGGTGCCGGTCATCTGTAAGCACATTGGGCAAGTTGCCCAGATCGCGGTACCGCCAGCTGTAGAGATCGGCTATGCTCGGCCTGCACTTCAAGCACACGGGCTGAAACTCTGGAAGGAAGCTTGGCAGCTACACGTATCACAGGCATCACAGGCATCACAGGCATCACAGGCATCACAGGCATCACAGGCATCACAGGCATCACAGGCATCACAGGCATCACAGGCATCACAGGCATCACAGGTATCATTGCCCATCTGCGAGACTGCTTGCAAAGGGCTTGGAGCCGCCCCCGAAAAGCATCTCAAAGCAACTCGAAAACTTAATCAATATCTGCCTTGCTCGGCCCTGCAAATTGAGGTCTACCGTTGGCGTCTTCAATCGCACAAAGCGAGCGTACAAGGACTGGTCCAGATGTCCATACTTCCTGAGCTCGCCATTTCAATGACATGACAGACATGACACACATTCGCCATCATTCGCCGGATTTCGCCGGACACCAAAGAATCTAAGAACACCTTGCCAGGCAGCTGGAATGCCCTGTTCTTCACCACAGGGGGCAGCTGATGATGGTCTCCTATCAGCATGACTCTCTTCAGCCTGGTGCGAGTGCGGGAACAAATCGACGCGCCACGATGATGCCGTGATGATGGAAATCACGTGCGCAAACACGTCTTCCCTTTGCCGAAAAGGCGACACCATTGGTTTGCTCGGATTTGTTTGCAAGGTTGGATTCTCTGCCTTGGCTGCAGCTCCATTCACTGTTTCGATGTGAATGGAAACCTGCCTGCTGAAACCATTCTCGGCATTCTGCAGCAACATGGGAATGAAAGTCTCAACCTCCAGGATCTGTGCAGATTCCTCCATCAGCAGGTTGTCCTGAGCTCTCAGAAGGGGAGTGTCACGGCAATGGGGAACACTTGAAAAAACGCAAAGCAAACAAAACCAAACAAAACCAAACAAACTATCTGCTTGCGGAATCGTGCCAAGAGTCGTACTTAAAGGCCAAGTTCATCAAGGTTGATCTTGTAAGCGCTGCATGCGTGCAGGTCATGGCAATGATGCGAGAATGTGTAGTGATGAGGTAATCCCCGCGGTCACGGCCTTTGTCACTCTCTCAACACTTTGCCCAACATGGCGAACAGAAGGAAGATGCAACACAAACGCACGAATTCTATGGCAACCGGGTGCATGCTTGGACGGGAGTGCCCATGAGGGCTGCGGTTCACTGTGCAGAAAGGATCCCTTAGCCCGGGCAATACAACCGATTTCCCGGAGACAAAGCAACACATGCCAAACAACCGACGGCATCTGTCATCTGCCTCTTCCCTGGAGCTGTTGGATTCCAAACGGATTTTGGATGGTAGAGAATATCTAAGTGCGCCTTAAGTGCTCGGTTTCGCGGAACGTTGAAGAGCGTGCGCCAGTCAGATAGCCAGTGACAGATGCGTCGGAGCGGGTCCCATGCGCACAGGTCCGGGTCTGAGTGTCTGCGTGCCAGATACGCGCAGGGCCCCGCGTGGCCAAATCAGTGAGGCCTGGGCCAAGTACGAAGAAACAGAACCAATGGAACAACCAAGTGAAAAGCAATGAACAACCCGGTGGCCAATGGAAAATGAAGAACAAGCCCAAACTTTTGGCAAGCAAGGTGGGTCTGGGGTCGAGAAAGCTAACGGAATATGCTCGGGGGAAAAACCCAAACGACCCGGAAAAGAAATGGAAAAGCATCCCATGCTGTCAGAAGGGAGGCGCAAATGAGGCTGACAAAGGAATGCATTTCCATGGAAGGTCCAGCAGGCAGCTACGCGGCCCCACCCCCCATAAAAAGTGGATTTCTAGGACCGGTCCAGCCCCGGGATCGGTCCCAGCACTGGTCCTGGGATCAGTCCTGGGACGGGTCTCGGGACCGGTCTGGGAGGCTTGTGCCAGTGGCCTTGTGGGTCTGCGTCCTGCTGACGTCTTGAAGCCCTCGGCCCTGACATGGCTGTATAAACATGTTGATCCGGAGCAATGATCCTGAGAAAACAGGGCCCGCGGCGCACAGGGCGGGGGCATCTGGGCGGTCGTCGGTGGGCGGCCGGGCGAACGATGGGAATTGGCCGTTTTTGTACTGTGCCTTCTGTTTTCCCGCCAGGTAGGCGTCGAGAAGAAACCATTGCAACAGTAGTGAACTTGCAGCATCGACGCCGAAGATGCTGCCGATCTCACCATCTTTCTCTGCGAGGTGCCAAGGCTGCTTTCAGCAACATCCCTCATGAGAGACCTCCCGGAATCACAGATGCAGCTGCGTCTGGCCACGCGTCTGAATTCCCATCAGTATCGTCAGGAACACGACGCTGCTGACATGACCATGAGGCTTGACACGTTGAGTTGGCGAACCTCGAGAACAGTCTTGCTGACACGGCGCTGGAGTTCTAAAGTAGCTGCTATGGGGAAAGGCGCCCGCGCCCATGAACAGGAAGCTGAACAATCTGCCTTGACTGGCTCCAAGCCCAAGTGCACAAGGCGCCTTGTGCGGTTCTGGCAAACTCGTCCCACTATGCCATGCGCTTGACTTCTTTATTCGGCAATGTTCGTGGAAACTTCAACAGGCAGAGTTGGATGAGAACACACAGCGGCCATGCCTTGGGTCAGCTTGACTGATGACGGAAAGCGCTTCTTGAAGCGCTGGGAGTTAGCGTGCGAAGTTGTGGGGGGGGGGGGGGGGGTGTGGGGGGGGGGGGGGGTAACCTCGTTCCGGGTGATTTGCAGGTCTGGTCAGCCGAAAATACTCCCAAAAAATGGGAGTATTTTTTGGAGCACTTTCTGCCACCGCAAGGCTGGTTTTTGGTGTTTTTCCCTGTGTTTTTCGCGCTTTTTCGTCGACGCTGCCTATCATGTCTGACCTTTTCGTCTGTGGCTCTCGCGGGCCAAAAAGCGTGCCAGTTTTACATCATTTTACTTTGCTTCCGGCCTCGCCGGACTTGGGCGCACAAGGGGTGCCGGGGATGCAGGGGATGCCGGGGATGCAGGGGATGTCGCTTGTTTTGGAAGTTTTTGTGGTGGTCGGCGATGCTGGGGATGTCGCAGGAAAAATACTCCCATTTTTTGGAGTATTTTTTGGAGCACTTTCTGCCACCGCAAGGCTGGTTTGCAGGTCCCAGGGAGACGACACGGGGTGTGTAAGTACGGGCGCTGGTTTGGGTTGTTGCTTGTATGTGATTCAGTGCAGGAGGGTTGTGCAGTTGTTGGTTTGCTCTGACTTGGGTCAAGCTGGCAAGGGACAGCAAGGGACAGCAAGGCAAAGCAAGGCAAACCAAGGGAAAGCAAGGGCAAAGGAAGCGAAAGTAGGGGAAAGCAAGCCAGGCAAGGGAAAGCAAGGCAAAGCAAGGGACAGCAATGGACAGCAAGGGAAAGCAAGCAACAGCACGGGCAAAACAAGTCAAAGCAAAGGAAAGCAAGGGACAGCAAGGGACAGCAACAAAAAAAAGGGAAAGCAAGGGAAACACAAGGGAAAGCAAGGGACAGCAAGGCAAAGCAAGCGAAAGCACAGGCAAAGCAAGGCAAAGCAAAGGAAAGCAAGGGACAGCAAGCAAGGGACTGCAAGGGAAATCAGGGGAAAGCAAGGGAAAGGGAAAGCAATGGAAAGCAAGGCAACGCAAAGGAAAGCAAGGACAAGCAAAGGAAAGCAAAGGACCGCAAGGGACAGCAAGGGAAAGCAAGGGAAAGGGAAAGCAAGGACAATCAAAGGGAAGCATGGGAAGGCAAGCAAAAGCAATGGAAAACAAGGGAGAGCAAGGCAAAGCAAGCAAAAGCACAGGCAAAGCAAGGCAAAGCAAAGGAACACAAGGGACAGCAAGGGAAAGGGAAAGCAAGGGAAAGCAAAGACAAGCAAAGGAAAGCACGGGCAAAGCAAGGGAAAGCAAGGGAAAACAAGGGAGAGCAAGGCAAAGCAAGCAAAAGCACGGGCAAAGCAAGGCAAAGTAAAGGAAGGCAAGGGAAAGCAAGGGAAAGCAAGTGAAAGGGAAAACAAGTGAAAGCAAGGGATAGCAGGGCAAAGAAAGCAAAAGCATGGGCAAAGCAACGCAAAGCAAAGGAACACAAGGGAAAGGAAGGGACAGCAAGGCAAAGCAAGCAAAAGCACGGGCAAAGCAAGGCAAAGCAAGGGAAAGCAAGACAGCAAGGCAAAGCAAGCAAAAGCACGGGCACAGAAAGGCAAAGCAAAGGAAAGCAAGGGACAGCAAGGGAACACAAGGGAAAACAAGGCAAGGGACAGCAAGGCAAGGGAAGCAAGGGAAAGCAAGGCAACGCAAGGGAAAAAGCAAGGTCAAGCGAAGGAAGGCAAGGGAAAGCAAGGGAAAACAAGGGAAAGCCATCGCATCCGTGGCAGGCGCTTTCCGTTGTTTGCCGGACTGGTTTGCAGATTGCCTTGCCGGGATCCCCTGATGGGTTTGTTCTGGACACTGTTGGGTATGCCACTTTCCGCTCGACCAAGGTGAAAGCTCACGGGTTGAGGGAGCGGCCACTCAGATCACTCGACCATGCGAGAAGTGTCGCTCCGGCTCTGCGCGGCGCTTTTTCGCGGTGGAGCAACGGGGGAACCCGGAGATTGCCGGAGAACCCCAACGCGGTCTGTCCAATCCGTGCGCCGAGTCCGAAGGCGCTGGCTCCGGCCCCGGCCCCGGCCCCGCTGGCCCCGGCCCTGGCCATGGCCAGGCTCACAAGCTCGGCTCCATCCCAGGAGCGCAAAGACTGCCAACGCGGAGCGAGAAGTTGCCGAGAAGTTGCCGTGGATGAATGAAACTGACTCATGCTGGAACAACATCAACACACACTGCGGGAGAGAGAGAGAGAGAGAGAGAGGGAATGCTCGGAAAGAGCCCGCAAACTTCGGAACAGCGAGGACGGGAGAAAACTTTGAAGAACTGAGTGGCACAATGTCATGTTGTACTGAGCAGCTACACCAACTGCTCGGAAATTCTCGGAACAATTACGGGACAACTGGGCGAAATTGGTCGGAGTCGGGAAAACAATCCTAAAAAGTTAAGCAGACAAACTCGGCAAAACCGGGCGGAAAAGCTTGGTAAAACTGGCCGCAAACAAATCGGAGAAACTGGCCGGAGTTGCAAAATTGCCAAACAAAACTCGGAAAAACTGCGAGATCTCACGATGCGCAATTTGGGTGAGGATGGTTCGAAGTGGAGATTTAGAAGGGCGAAAACCGTAAATGGTACCCAACGTTGACCGAGTGCTTCCTTTGCCGTGCAAACTGTCGGTATTCTGAGGCATTCTTTCAGCCCGTCCCTGTATTTCCGCATGCCTGTCTGGATGTCACTCATTTTCATGCAGATGGACCAAACCATTCATTCGAGCCTCCAAGTTCTCTGGCCTATCCAACAAACCGCAATGGTGCAATTGAATTGCTCGGCTCTATTCAAAATAAAAGTTTTGATGGCAAGGTTCTCGTCATTCGTGGCCAAGGAACTGTTGCGTAGCAGCTCGAAGGCGCGGCACTCTTCGATCTCCCGAAACATGTTCTCGAAGTATCTAGCCGGAAGCGCGAGCGCCGGAAACGAGCGGCATCGAACTATCGAACGGCCGGAAGCCCGGGAAGCGCGATGCGTGGCCGCCACGGCCCGCCTGAAGCAGCCCTCGGCAATCTCCAGGTCCGACTCATAGGACTCGGATGGAAAGAGCCGCGGCACGTCTGCGAAGAACTTGCCAAAGGGAAAGAGCAAGGAGACCACGGTGATCTCACCCTTCAGCCTGGCAAATCCAAATGATTTAAATGCGAATGCCTCAAGCACGATAAGCGCTTTGTCAAGCAGCCTCTCGCGGAGCTTCTTGGCTTCCTCGCTGTTCTCTTCCAAGGCTTCTGTTCTCTTCCTCCAGGACACACACACACACAAACGCCAGTACAAAACAACACATCCTTGCACAACTGCACAGCGGTTCCCCATCGTGCCTTGAGTCATCCGCCTGACGAAGCGCGCATCGTGTGCCCATGCCACGCCCAAAAACAATCCTTTGCCTCGGCTTCACCTTCCACCCGCCGCTTCTTGTTGGCAGGCCCGGTCTTCGTCAGCACCTGCAAAATCCAATTTCCTGTGAGCATCAGGGCACATTGTCTGCCTTGTGGATGTTCGCTCCATTCTTGCCGGCGATTCCCAACTTTCTGCGGAAGTCTTCCCACCGGTACTGCACGTGATGCAAGAAGAAGTGCTGGGCGTTCTCACAGGTGTACGCTACATCCTGGCGCTGGAACCACCCTCACCTGAACCAGTGTCCATGAGTTCACGCGAAAGCTCAGCCTTCGTACATCGCATCTAATTCCCAGTCTGTTCGGTGAGCCCTGCCTGACCGGACAGGTCAAAGGTGTCAGCCAATCGCTCCACCTTGGCCAACAGCTCCAGCCGCCGCTTCCTCGGTGCAATCGATGCAATGCCAATGGGCACGCTCTCAACATCTCTCAGGATGCAGGCAACTCAGGCTCCGACAGCATGTGGTTTACACGGCCCCACTTCGAGAAATCCTGCTTGGCATCCAGCTCCTAGGACAGTTCCAACCCGAGTTGTCCCCATGCACCTCCTCAAATCCTGTTCGCTGCTTGGTGCCCCAATTGCCAGTGCAAGGGTCGTCAATTCCACGGCCCAACCTGAGCAAATATCTTTCAGGGATGTCCAGCGCCACGATTTTCTCGAAGAGGTCATTCAGCGCTTGATTGGAATGTGCCACCAGAACTATCTTTTGATCTGGAAAGTTGTGAAAGAGCAGATTCACCACCTGCAACATGCTGAAGTGCCAACACATTCAACATTTCTCAGTTGGCACGCCTGCACCGCGGTATCTGTCTTTCCCGTGCCCGGAGGGCCCACCACCATGGTCAGCCCTGGGTTCACGCCGGAGCGGATGGCTTCCACTTGCACAGGAGTGAAGCGGATGAAGTTCTCGCGCGGCCTTGAGTGACAGTCAGCTCGGCGAATGCCAAGACTCAGCTGAAGCCTCTCTCGCATTGTCAGTTGCCCTGAGCTGCCAGCTTGCATTCAGGATATGGTCCCATGTTTGGCAGCGTGTACGCCGAAGCCTTCACTCCTTGGATCAGGATCCCAACTTCAACAACTCCAATAACCCAGGCCATGGCCGCCGTGGCTCTTTCTATTGGCCTCTTTCCAGGTTCATCTCGCACCTTCTCGAAGCTCAAACGGAAGGGCCGCTGCAGATTATCCGGCACGTCAATGTCTTCTGCGTCCGGGAAGGACTCCTCGCAAGCACAAAGCAAAAAAGACGCATCGGCCCGGCGCATCGGACATTTTAAGTGACACAGCTAGGGCCCAGATTCCAGAATGTGGTCATCGTCCAGAAACGTGTCGCCTGCCACACTGCATATACAAGCACAGGCAAACGCCCTCGGTCTGAGCTATGCCAAAAGGTACCCTTGAGGGCCCTCAAAGCAAATCGATCAAATCTGTCGGCCAAGCTTCGGAAATCAATCTGGTTCAGCGAGGTAGGCAGCTTCCAGTACTGTGCTGCGCCCGGATCACCATATCCCAAGAAGAGATCGTGAAGCCAATCCTTGCAGCAAACTGAACGAAATGTTTACAATAAACCAAACAGAATGAACTGAACATCAAAGATGTCTTTGTGTTCAGCAACTTGCGACCTGTTCAGCAGCTTGTGAATGGCAGTGAGTGGCAAAAAACACCAGCTGCGCACGTGGTGCGACAGGCGCAAGCCAGCCGTCGGCATTCCACGAGCTTTGTTTTAGGCTTCTAGCAAGTCACTGGAACCACTGTGTCTTCGTTGTTCATCAAGCTCCTGCCACAAAGACTCATTGAACTTGATCTGGCAAAGCGGAAATGAGGCACCTGATGGTGTGCAAGATTGCCTTGAAGTTGTTCTCCTTCCTGAGACCAAAGACGCAACTTCACTTGTGATACAGAATGATACAGACCTTGCGTGCCAAGCATCGGCTTTCTTCTCATCACAAGGTTCAGGGTGCTATAGACCTCTGGCTTTCCGGCTGCCATTGCCTCCAGGTCCTGAGCCAAGCTCACACAAAAGCATCCCAACGGTCCCAACCTTATGTGGCATTGCTCGCGTTTTTGCGCATGCACGCATGCATTGCGCATGGATTGCTCGTTTGGCTCGCCATGCTCTCCTGGTGGTACTGTGCAGGGTCCAGCAGGACTCTTGCGACCCGAATGTCGCCCACAGGACTTCGACGCTCGGCGGGATTGGGGTCGCTAAGGACGTTGCCTCGGCCGACATAGAGACGGGAAGAATCCGAAGCTTGGCTCGTATGGCATGTATGGCTCGTATGCGTATGCCCATACGCATGCAGCGTTGTGCGGCTTTGCTACCCTCATCGTCCAGAAGCTCTGTGATCTCCTGGCCAACTTGCCGGTGGTTCGAGGGTTGCGGCTCTTCGCTGAGGCTGCAGCTGCTCCACGCACGGAGACCACACCTTTAATTCTTCAACGTGCTGAATGTGCCACGGTCGACGCTCAAATCTCCAGGGCAAGGGCCGAATTTTTGTGGGAACTCCGCCACAGAGAGATCAGCCACCCTGCCATCGTAGGGCTCCGCCGGTGGCTGGATCCTAGCACCGGTTCAACAAGAGTGCTTTGAAAAGTTGGGTTCAGGATGGTTCAGGCCTGATCAGGAAGATCACGTCGTGCTCCCTCAACGTATCCCACTCCTCCCGCACGTGCCTCACCGAAACATGTCGCGACTGCCGCACACTGTCGACCGACTGTGACTGTGCAGCCTGTGCAGCCTGTGGACTGTGCCGACTGAACTCACAAAGCTGCAGGGTGCTCCAGCTGAGGGTGCTACGGCAGCACGCCCGTGAGGGACCACCTGACCTCTGCGCGCACCTCGGAGGGCACCTCCTCGCCCACTTTCGGTCTCTTCACCTGCAAGTGTCCCTTTCAAACCTGCCTGGGAGCAGGCCGGGCAGAAATATGCAGACATATGCAGACATGCAGACATGCAGAAATTAATGCTGTCAGGTAGCATTCATCACTTCCAAGCCGCCCAGCGGTATCGCCATTCGGGCAGACCCACTGAAGTGGGTGCTCCCATCTTGATCCAAGGAGGCCTTCATCCTGAGAAATGGCTCACCAAGCAACTCCTGAACTTCCGAACCTGTCCTGGGGATCTGATCATGGAGGTCATCTCGGATCTCATGCGTTGACTCCAACCTGAAGAGGTTGAAGTTGCGGAGCAAGTAGTCCTTACCATCGTGCCCGTTCCGAGTTCACTTGCTCCGAATGCAAGCCGAAGCAAGCCGAAGCACGTGAATCGTGAGGAACTGGAGATTCAGCTTTGGCAGCGCCAACGAGTAGTCACCTACAAGGCAACCAGTGCCCTGCCATTGGACAGATGCGCGCCTGAGTAATGCTCCTCTGGAACGAGGTTTGGATCCCAAATCAGCTCCTCTGTCGGATACAGCGGCATCTTCATTACGTCATCTTGCCTGCAATCTTCCCAAGACCCGAGTACCAGAAGTACCAGACATATCAGAAGTAACAGCTCATCCCCAGCAAGAACCCGGAAGCCCGAAGCCCAGCAAGCAGTGTGACGAGCTGCTGCATCACCGGGCGCTCCAGGCGATTCACTAAGATCTCAACCAGCAGCTCGCAAAGCCGCTGCTCCTCCTCTGTTTTCACCTGAAGCAAACGAGGCAAGACGTCAAAGCATCTCAAAGCATCTCAAGGCATCTCAAAGCATCTCAGACTATTCCGACGTTTTCCTCCTTTCGGTCGCATGCCGCACGCTCAAGGCTCGAAGCTTCTCTTCGGAATGTGCCCCAGTTCCATGTTGTGCCCCACCTTCTTCTTGCGCTTCTTTTTCTTCGGCTCTGTGGCCTCTTTCTCGGCTTCAGCCTTCTCCTGTGCTGCAATGGCCTCCTTCACCTGCCAGAATCAAGGTGGCCAGAGGTGCCAAACTCAAGCGACGCACCTTCTGTTCCATGACAGCCAGCGTCGGATCCTTGCTAACCTGAGCGGAAAAGGAGCCACACCTCCCTAAAAAGATCACCCTGCACCCCTTTGGTGTCCAGAGTCTTTCAGACATGTCTCAGGTGCTCTCTCACGATCGGTACATTTGGGAAATCCTACCAGCCTCCATGTGGCACATTCTGCGACTCTTCGGTAGCAATCTACAAGACCAATATGTTCCCACTTCGCTGTTCAATTTACCCTGTTAAGTCCACTTCGCTGTTCAACCATGAATCCGAACCAATCTGAATCCATAGAACCCATTCTGCCTGTTCCAGATATCTAATTTTACTACTGTCCGCTATTTCCGAGGGGCGTCGAGGTAGCAGACCTTGGCGCTGAGAGTCTTCAGCACCTCCAGCGGCAACGGCTCGAAGTGCTGCACCAGCGCCTCCCTAGGTCCGAAGCTCCGAAGCTCCGAATGCGAAGGTCGAACATCGAGAGCATCGAAGCTTGACTCAAACGAATCAAATAGAAGTCCACTTGGATCAGGACCCCTACAAAACCAGCTCGAAAAAGGTCTCGAAAAGGTTAAGGGCACGGGAACTTTTGCTCTCAAATCTCAACCCAGGTCATACCACTCGCAACATCGGCAGTGCTCAGGGCACCTGCTGTCCAGGTTGGCCACATTAATGAGCATGATGGGCTTCAAGCTCGGATTGTCCGGAAATTCCTGGAAACAGACCTCAATACATGCAGCCGTTTAGGATCGTTCAGGTTTGGTTCTCGGGTGGTTTGGGGTTGGTGTAGGGGTTACTTAGGGTTTGTCAGGGTTTATTTTTGTGGTTCAGGGATTACTAGTCTTGGTTTACAGTGGGTTTAGGGTTAAGGCTGGCTTAGGGTTGGTTTAAGGCTGATTTCGGGTTGGTTTAAGGCTAGTTTAGGGTGGGTTTCAGGTTGGTTTAGAGTTGGTTTGGTTGAATTGGTTTTGGCGCTGGTTTAGGGTTTAGGGTGGGTGTAGGGTTAGGGTGGGTTTAGGGTTGCTTTGGGATTGAGTAGAATTTGCTTAGGGTTGGTACAGGTGTGCATTGAGGGTGGGTTTAGTTGTGGTTTACGCTGGCTGTGGCACGGGTTTAGGGTTGGTTTAGGGCGATTTTAGGGTAGGTTTAGGCTGGTTTAGGATGCTTTAGAGCTGGTCTAAAGCTTAAAGGTTGGTTTATGGTTTTCTTGGGTTCTTGTGGGGGTTGATTTTGAGGCGGCTTAAAGCTGGTTCAGGGTGGGTGTAGGGTTGGTTGCTATGGGGTTGGTTTAGGGCTGGTTTAGGGTGGTGCGGTTGGAAAAGGGTGGGTTTAGGTTTGTTTCAGTTTTTGTGTAGGGTTGGTTTAGGGTTGGCTAGGGTTGGCTTAGGGTTGGTTCGGGTTGGCTTAGCGTGTGTTGAAGGTTTCTATAAGCCATTCAATACTAGTTTAATATGAGTCCAGGATTAGAAAAGAGTTTACTTTATGTTTGTTTAGTGCTGGTTTGGAGGGTGTTTGGCGGGGGGCTGGTGCTTAAGTGCTGGTTTGATGCGGGCTTAGGAATGATTTTTGGCGGTTTAGGGATTGCTTAGTGCAGGTTTAGGGTGGGTTGCAAACACTACCCTGGCAGTGATGATAGCTGAGGATGTGGAAAGCCAAAGCTACAACCGCCAAAAGCCACAAACGTACGCAAAATGCCGCGAAAGCTGTCACAGCACCCACCGACCGACAACCGACGCGCGAACGACCGACCTAACGGGAACTCCACGACCCAGCCGCCAAACCCTTCGAAGCAAAGCAACTCAGAGCCAGAACAATTGAAACCCCCGAATCGCCGTGATCTTGCGACTTGTCCCCAAACATGCCACGCGCCTTACATCTCTCTATCTCAACTCCACACGCCCAAAGACTGGAATCGCTCTCTTTAAAAGGAATCAAACCAATTCGGCAAATATGCAGCGACAGTTTCAGAGGTGTTGCTTCCCTGGGGAACCAGTTTTGGACCTCGTTTTAACATGGCTGACTTGAGCGCACGTAGCCAAGGGGACCTCGGCAAACAAGCGCGCTTCGTGAGCACAGAAGTGGCACTTCAAAATACTATCAACCCTTCCAAACACACCCTGGAACACCTCTAAGTCAGCGAGCTCGCTTAGCCTACCCCTGCCATGCAATGCTGCTAAGATGATCGTAACTGTAGGTGTTCCCCAGCTCGCTTTGCATCGACAGCCTACCAACGAGAGTCCGACCAGCCTCTCACTTTACTCTAGTCGATACAGGCACTCGCGTGAGCATTCAAAAACTTCGCAATGAGCACTTCAACGCAACACAACGCCCACCGCTCAACGTGCAATGAAGTGCAAGTCGCCCGGAATCCAAGCAGTCCCGGACGCTACCAGATGCAAGGGGTGGCACCAGCAAAGCAAGCCATGGCTAAGAATGGCCCGCAGATTGATTCCTCTCTTACGCGCATCAGTGCGGCAGTATGCGTGCAATACAAACAATGTGCGTGGCCACGTCGAACCTGGTGATCTTGGGTAAGCAGTGAAGCGTAAAATAAGTATTGTCCTGCAAACGCAGTACACATATTTCACCCGCAAAATAAGTTGAATACGGCCTAAATGGCGACTGGCTCGATTTGGTGAAACCAAACACTCCACTTCGCATGGTTTGACAACCTTTGCTTCCAGCCAAGTGTCTCTCTGCAAAAGCTGCAGCCTCTCGTAGTGAAGGTCGGTCACTTCTCGTCGAGACAAAGGCTTCCCGGTGGTGTCATCTATCTCGAAATTCTCGTAGTATCTGAAACAAAAGAGTTCATCACACTTGGCAAGGACATCAGCCATGTCGCACAGGAAGACGACAGCAACACAAATGCAAACGACAAGAAGGCATTGAATATTGTGATTCGGGCACGAGCCTGTGCCCAGGCAATGGGTAAGTTGGGGTAGACAAGCCACAAAAGAAAGGTTCCCCAAAAGCAAACCAATCCCCGGTCCCAAAGATCAGGGTTTCCCACACACCAGAGAACAACAACCAAAAGAGAAAAGAGTTAACCCGCAACCTTGATCGACGACAGGCCGCACGAATAGTCCCTACCAACCAGGCAGCGGGCCGAGGTCTCTTTCTCCCCCGAGATGCCGTCGGTCGACGCAGGGGTTCGGCGACGCCCATCCGAGGCGCGACGGAACCCATAAAACTTGAGCCAAACATCACAGGTCAGTCACTACCGCGACATCCCTGATGATGAAATGAACCATGGCTAATCACACCCCCCTCACGAGGAGCCCGTCATATGACGGGTGGAGTGTGCCATTTACTGATAGGATTTAACTGCTCGCATGCGTCCGCAAACAGCTGGACACTACCGCCGTCAGCGGGCCGAGCAAACCCACAAAGGCAGTTGCGCGACATCCCGGGCATTAAATTCCCGCCACCACCCCGAATTAATCGGGGTAACGCTGTCCAACATACCTTGTGGAAAAGTCCACATGACGACACTAGGTCACAACTGTTTGCATCAACAATGCAAGTAGTTCAATTCTTATCAGAAGCCATGAAACAAAGGATAACGAATGTTCATCAGTACCCTCGCCTATCGGCAAGAGGTACCCCTGACCATGCGTATCTGAAAAATACTTGAACTCCGCAAACCTGGGAGTACCCTCCACCAGTTTGCATCCCCTCTCACTCACACTACTTCACGATGAGCGTGACCAGCAGCCGAGCAGCGGTGGGGAGAGACATGATCTTTGCGCCTCAGCGGTTCGGAAGGAACATCATCACCTCCGCACCGCGCCAACCATCGGAGAAAGGACGCAAGCCTATCGGCCGCAATCCCCGTGACTCAGCCTATCGGCTATCGTCACGTCTCCTCCGGTCACGTCCGCCCCGCGCACGGTCCCTGTCACGATCCCTCTCGGATCTCCTGCGATCATCTCGCCTTCGATCTCGCTCTCGATCGAGTGAATCATCACCACGACGATCTCGAACATCGTCCCTTCTTCGGTCTCGATCTTTGTCACGCCGCGGTCGATATCTGCGCCTTCTCGATTCTCGGGAATCCCTGGTGTCCAGGGTCCTAACGGACCTCCGAGAGGGAGTGCGGGAAACATCCGAATCCCGACGTCGTCCGCCCAAGAGAGTTCGCCACGATCTGGTTGAGAACCTCCAGCGCTGAAGCGTTCTCGCCATTTCTGATGAAATCCCTGACCTGCCTATTTAGCACCCTATCGGGTGACATCGTCAGGAAGGCATCCACCACTGAATTCTCCGGCAACACCAGGAAATGACCCTCCGCCGGGCTCGCAGCAGCTCGCTCTGCCGATTGCAGCCTGACCTCACTCCCTTCAGGCTTCTTCGCCATCGCCTTGGAAGCCGTCAAGGGCGCTACCGCGTCCTCTACCGAAGACCTACCAAGCGCGGAGTGAAGATCATCTCCACTTGCCTCTCTCGCTGCCGCACCTGGCCGGTTGTCGACATCATCAGGTCTCTTTGATGCCTCCCGCTTCGTCGACTCCTTCACAGGCTCATCCGGATCCCAACGGGATTTCCTTTCTCTCTTCTGCCCCTCAGCTGAGCCCCGACTATCGCCGGGAACGTCGTCTCCGCTTACCTTCTCCTTCTTGACCTCAACCTTCGGGTCAGCTTGCTTCGTCTCCTTAGACTCAGCCCTCGGAGCCTGAGCACTCTTCGCCTCAGGAACTGAAGCTGCCTTCCCCTTCGGCTCGGCCTTCGGGACAGGAGTCATCTTAGCCTTTGCACTTGGCCGGGCTCCTTCAACCGCTATCGCGACCCAAGTCTTCTTCGGTTGAGCCACAGGTGGATCAACCTCCATTGGAGCCGGCCCAGCGTTAGCCTTGGCTTTCGTCTTCGGAGCGGCAGGGCTATCGCCCTTGCCAGATCCTTTTCCTGACACATCGCTTGACTTTGGTTGTGGGTCGGAAGGAGTATCGCCCTTACCACCCTTTTCACCCTTCTTCCCTTTTCCTTTCCCGCCCTTGATGATCGGCTCCTGCTTTGGACCAGGACCCTGTGCAGCATGAGGCACCGACTGGAGCTCGTCAACGTTCACATCCAACGGCTCCGGTTGACGACCATCAAGAACCGTCCTCACCCTATCGTCACTAACGTAGACGAATGGGTCACGGAAAAGGGCAGGAGGCTCTGATTGGCCAGCATTGATTGCCTTCTGCACTTTGGCTAATCTTCTCTTCTCGTCGTACCCCGTCGCCGAGACCATGTAGTTCCTGAGGTCCGCCATCAATTTATGGCTAGCCAGGATGTCTGCATCCTTCCTATGGGTCGGATACATGGGAGTCAGGTGACCCGCAGCAGCACCAATCACGGTAGAAGGACAAGTACGTGTCATGACGGGCGAACTTCCTAACGGAAGTCGTCATACGTCTTCCCCACTGGGCCGCATGCACCGGATTCGCTCGGAAGTACTCAGTCACCGACTCAAATCTATCGACCTGGTTGGTTTTGATCAGGTGCTTTGCCACCCACTTCTCCACGAATGCATCCGAGGCCGAAATGCCTGACACGTAGGAAAACTGAAAGAGCACCTTTGCCAGTTCATCCCACGCCGCGTCAACTCCGCCCTTATCCTCCCCGAGATAAGGAGGCAACCGGATGCCGCTCTGCACCGTCATCCTCAGGTCAGATGCCATCGAGTAGGAAATCAAGCTCCTCTTGATAACCCCGACCACATCGGAAGCGATCCTCTTGGGCTTGAACTGTCCCATGCTCTTCACCCAGTCCGGGACGACGCGGCTCCCCGCAAAGTCCTCCTCGTCCGCGTTGGGGATGAAGTTCGGGTAGAAGACCGGGAGCACACATCCAGGGCACAAGTGCATCCCAGATGGTGTAATCTGCGCGCACCTCAAACAGAAGGCGCCGGTCACATTCAACCTGACTTCCACACGCGCCCGCTTGTGAGTCCCCCTATCGGGAGTGAAGTCACCGTAGTCCCAAACCCGATGATACACTATCGTGTAATCATCGAACATGTACGCGGCCTTCCACACACCCATGTGGATCTCGTCCCGAACGGCAAGAGTCTTTCTCCTCGTCAGAAACACAGGTCCAATCAGCGACCAATGTACCCGAAGGTCCACCATGACCACCACGTACCTACCTGAGTAGTTCCGCAGCCTGTCCCTGACATACCACGAAGGCGATACCTCGGCATCGGGTCGCATAGCCTCCATAATTGGAACCAGGCCCGCATCCAGTCTCCCATCTCCAATCGATTCGTACTCGTCAGGCCTTGTGATCAATATCTCGATCATGGCCTTTCCATTCCGCCTCACCTTTTTGGAGTTGGACCGCCTTCCTGACTTCATCACGACGTACCCCACCATAGGAAGTTCCCCCCAGTGCATCTCATACATCAGAGACCCGCCAGGAGCATCCCCTTGCGTGTACCTTTGCCTCACGGCACTGAAGCTCAAGTCCCGTCCGATCCGCGTGAACCTAACGGCCACCAACCTGGTGTATTCCTTGAGGAAGATGCCAGTCTCGTCATACATGAGCATTGGCATAACCTCAACTTGCCCCCGGGAAAGCCTTGATCGCCGGAATGAAGAATTTCCACGACATCTCAGCGTTCTCCATTCCCGTGACCTCCTTCAGGAACCAGACGGCCTGATCAACACTTACCCAGTTTCCAGCCTCTCGTCCAGTCTCCTTCAGCACTTTCTCCTCGAATAACTCCGAGACCCTCTTTGAGTTAATGACCAAACCTTCAAAGTCACACGTGAGCAGCTTCATCAAAGCCTGGGCGGCCTCCCGCCCCGCGATTGTGGCCGCTGTCTGGTCATAGTCCGGAACGTACTCGCTCATCCTATTCTTCGTGGGGACCACAATCTGACACGTCCTAGCCTCATTAGGCACAAGTCCAGCAGATCGCAGTTCCGGTCTGATTGGCTGCCTATCGGCAAGATAATCCTTCTTCCCGTCCAAGACCACGAGATTGTACGTCATCTTGCTGGCCGCATCACTCGGGCGGAATTTCCTGCTCACGTCAATCTGGTTGGGGGCGAAGGGCTCGATTGGAGCGGTCGCACTCAACGATGGTGCCCCTCATCCGAAGCACAAATGCTTCTTGTGAAAGTTCACCATCTCATTCAGCTGCGTGAGGGCATAGGCTCGATCCTCCAGCGATGCACTCTTCATCCCAGCCTCGGTGAGTGGAGCTTCAGGCTTGTCATAGCTCGCCTTCCCGCCCCATCTGGCTGCAACAGACTTCGCAGAGTCAACCAAGTTACCCGACCATTCAGGCATGTTGCTCAGCTTCCTCGTCAACGCGTCTATCGACGCCCTCAGTCGTTACAGTGTGAGGATCAACCGTCTCCCTGTCTTCCTGGCCAACACGGCTCATCTCGCTCAGCACTATGGAGGGGTAGATGGAAAGCATCACATCCGTTACCACGGCAGTTGTCCACACATCCCAGAGCCTCTCCATCTGCACGGGATCAACGGCCATTCGGGAGTATCCTCCCCTTGGCAGATCACGGATGATGGAACAACCTTCCTGTTCCTAATCAGGCGCATTACCTTTCTGGCTTGCTCAAAGCACTCCAGTTCTTTCGGGATGATCGCCGCCCGTGCAATGGCCTTTGCTTCCTCCTTGGCCTCGGTGAAGTATCCCTTCGTCAAGGTGATGTCAAGCGTCTCACCTTGGATTGCATCACCCATGTTCGACTTCGGCACTATCTTAGAGAAGAGCATACCGCCTTCCGCCTGAGCAGCCTGAGGTGTCCCTGGAGCAGCACGCAAGTTCTCCTCTTCAACTGAGA